ATAAGGTAATTATTATATATAATATATACTTTAATAAAATAAAGTTCTTCTAAAGTAAAATAAGAAAAGTAATATAATAGTAAAGTTAAAAGTAAAAAGTATAGTTAAAATTATTAAAGATAAAGACTATAAGTAAAATATAATAATAAATATACTTAGGTTAATAAAAGTAATAATAATAGTATTTAAAATAATAGTTACTATAATATAGAATAATAATCCTTTATTAAGTAATACTAAAGTAATTACTTAAGATATTAAGTAATATAACTAAGGTATTACTATAAGAGAAAAGAAAAGTATAGACTCTAAGATAACACTAGGCCTAGTAATCTAAATACTAAGATAGCCTTATCCTTTAAAATTAGTTAACTAGGTATAATACTTAATAATAGTTAAGTAGTAGGATTATATAATAAGGCTAAGTACTATAGTATAAAAGAGATTATAACCTTATATAAAGAGGTCTTTTAACCTTTATACTACTAAATAATAACTAGTGTTCTAAAATAGTAAAGATATATAGATTAATATATAGCTATATAATTAACTTAATAATCTAATCTAAGAGAAGTAAGGCTAAGAAATAAAATAAGCTAATAATAAAGGTCCTTTAGTGTATATAGGTATAGTTAACTATAGTAACTAAAGTATAGACTAGGAGTAAGGCGCCTACTAGTAGCCTCTAAGGGGTATTCTTCTTGTCCCTTAGTTAAAGAAAAGACTAAGCCCTAAGAGCTTCTTTATAACCTTCTTAAATAATTAATAAAAAGTAAAAGCTAAAGTAAGTAATAGTACTATATACTATATACTATAGTAAATATAGTAATATATAAGCTAATAACCTATTATATACTATAAATATTAAATAAAAGTAATATTATTATAATAATCTTATAAGACTACTATAGACACTAAAGAGTTAATTAAGATACCTTAGACCTTTATTAACTACTATAATAAGTAATAGACTATAAAATTATAGAACTAAGGTATCTTAAAGTATTTAAGGTAATTAATAAGTAAGATTTACTACTAGGAATAAGGCTTCTTTATTAAAGTAAGTATAAATATATAAGTAAAATCTAGAAGATATCTTAACTATAGTAAGGTATAAGTTATTATAAGAGGGATATATAAGAAAAAGACCTTTTCTTTAGATATATATAGTAACCTTTATAGTATAAACCTTTTATATAGTAATAGCTATTACTATATAATTTAACCTTAAGTTAAGTAACTTAATATAGTTAATATATTTCTTAATACTAAAAAAGACCTATTAAGAAAGCTAGTATACTATAAGCTACTACTAGGTTATTAGTAAAAAGAAAAGTAGTATCTATTATATAGGCCTTATATAGGTTATATAATATACCTCTTCTTTAGTTTAAGAGTTTATAAAGACACTAAAAAGCCTAGGCTATATTATTAAAGAAGACCTTTATCTCTTTATTTCTAAGGAGTATACTATATATATACTCTTTTATATTAATAATATTCTTATTATATACCTAAAAGAGAGTAAAAAGTAAAAAAGTAATTATTATAAGGCTAAAAAAGTATATAAAATAAAGGACCTTAGAGAAGTAAAGTAGTATCTAGGTATTTATATTATATATAATAGACCTAACTAAAGATATACTTTTACTATAACTAATATATCTATAATATAGTATAAAGTTTAAGTATATAGATAGGATTTCTCTTATAATACTACTACTAATAATAGACTTTCTTTAAAAAAAGGATAATAACACTAGTAAAAGTAAAGCTTTTTAAAAATAGTTAAATTAATTCTATATACTACTATAATAATCTAGCTAAATATAGTATTTACTTACTTACTTCTCTCTAGGTACTTAATAAACCTAAGTATATACTATATTTAAGTAGTAAAGTAGTATATTTAATACTTTTTTATACCTTATATTTATTAATATACTTTAGTATCTTAGGGAGTATATAACTTCTTTATATAAGTAATACTTCTTTTACTAATAATATAATTACTTACTAGTTATCCTAGGGGTATATTATATATCTCTTTAGTAGCCTAATTATTAAAAGTAACTTACTAAGTAATAGTTATAATATTAATAACTAAAGCTAAGCTTTTTACTCTTAACTATATAACTAAAGAGCTTATTACCTTAAAATACTTCTTTTATAATATCTACCTTAAATTAAAAGATAATATATAGGTAGTATAATATAATAACTAGTAAATAATTTACTTAGTTTAGAAAAAAAAGAGAATTATAATATAACTTTACTACATTAATATCTAAAATATATAGCTATAAAAGGTCTATATAAAAATAAAGTTAATATTATATATTTACTAATAAATAAGATACTAGTAAATAAACTTACTAAATATCTTTTATAAACTAAATTTAAGTACTTTAAAGTACTTTTTAACTTATAAGATATATAATATATAGTAAAATAAAAGAAACAAAGACTTAATTAAGAAATAATAAAAAAGTAAAATAAAAAACTCCTCTAAAATTAAATAGTAGCCTAAGGCTAAGAGGCCTAAGCTAAAGTAAAAATTAAAAAATAGCCTATAGGCTAAAAGCCTAATGTTTTAAAAAGGTAAAAATAGCCTAAGGGCTAAAGAGCCTATTATTAATAAAGGAAGATATTTATATAGTTATCTAAGAGATAATAAAATATAAAGTAAGTTTTTATATAAGAGAGAGCTTACTAATAAAGCTATTAAGGTTAGCCTATATATAAGTAGTACTAAAGGTATAACTAAAATATATATAAGGATTAATAGGGAGGCTAAAGGAATACTTAGAAGTAATAGCCTTTATAAAGGATCTTTAAGGCTACTTACTTTATTATATACCTCTTTTTTTTTTCCTCTTCTTTTTTACTTCTTTTTTTTTATTTTCTTCTCTTTGTCTTTATTAAAGAAGATAGTTATAAGTAAAGTAGCTTTTCTTTTCTTTAAGGTTTAAGGTAAAACTACCTATATATATAACTATATAGCTATAATTACCTAAAATAAAGATATATAAGTAAAAGTAACTATTATATAAATAAAAAGTAATTTACCTTATATAAGGCTTTTCTATTACTTAAAGTATATAAGAAGGTATTAGCTAGGCTAATAACCTTAGGGGTAAGTAGTATATATATACTAATATATAATATATTAGTAATATTTAAGGCTAAAACTAAAAAAACACTTACTATTAGATTAACTTATAAGTATACTCCTTAAGTAATACTTATAAAGGCTAATAATAGTAGGTCTCTTTACTATACCCTCTTAGTACTCTAGTGCCTCTATAAAAGTATTATTATTACTACCTAAATCCTCTTTAACCTTAGAAGATAATAGTAAGCTCTCTTTATTATTAGTATAAAGATAAAAAAATAACTACTTTACTACTACTTTATTATCTAAAAATAAGTTAGTAATTAAGAAATAACTAAGTAATAATAAGTAGTAATATACTAGTTAAAAGTAAATCTAGGCCTATATTACTTAGCTTCTCTTAACTAAAGTTAAAAAGGCTAGTCTCTAGAAAAACTACTTATTATTACTTTTAAGAAGCTATACTTATTCTTTAGTACTAAAATTAATTAACTAGTAATAAGATAATACTTATAAGACTTATTATAAGGGGTTTTACTCCCTTATAGACTTACTAAAGGTCTTCTCTTCCTCTTTAAGAGGAGATAAGGTACACTTATAGTAACTATAGTAGTTATATAGTAGTAAGACTACTATAGCCTTAGGGCCTATAGTAGCTATAAGGGCGTATATATAAGCCTTACTAAAGGTAATAGTTTTATAAAATATCTAAAAAAAAAGAAGTATTAGTAATTAAGTAAAGTAGTATAGTAATAATAAGTTAGTAATTAATTATAATAAAAATAATAATATAACTTATAATTATTATTAAAGTTATTAAGAAAAAAAGAAAAATAGTAACTACTATACTAGCCTTAAGGTAAATATTTACTAATATATAAGCTAGCCTTATAGTAAGTAGCTTTACTAATAGGAACACCTAATACTAGTAGCCTATAATTATATAATAACTAGCCTTTTTACACTAGAAAAACTATTTTTCTTTTATATCTAGGTGTATAGTAACCTACACTAACGCTTAAGGGGGTATATTATATAAGATATTACTAACTAACACTGCTTTCTAAAAGAATATTACTAATTAATCTAACCTTTGCTCCTAAATATAGATACTTATAGTAAAATCTACTAAGTAAGGTAATATTTAAGGAATATAGATTATAGTACTATAGATAGAAGAAATAAGCTACTTTTAACTATATAAATTACCCCCTAAACGTACAACTTAATAATAATATAACTAGTAGCCTTAGTAAAAAAATAAATAAGAAAGTAGTTAAAGATAATAAGTAAAATATACTTACTAATCTAATAAAAGAAATAAAGTTTAGTTTATTTAAAAATATAATAAAGATATAGATACTTATATTAATAAGCTTATTAAAGATAAGTATATACTTAAAAAAATAACAGAATTCCTTTTTAATCTAGGTAATAATATAAAATTTATCTTAATACTTAAAGACCTAGGACTATAAGTAATAAAAGAACTAAAGATAGTTACTAAAGATCTTAAAGACCTTAAGGACCTATACTATTAATAAAATAAGGTTAAAAAGTACCTTAAGTAAACTACTAAGGTATAAGAGAAAAAAGAACCTAAGGAGGTCCTAGATAAAAAAATAACCTCTAATAATACTATAAACTTTACCTTTTAGACTAGTAAAGTTATTAAGGCTATTATAAAGCTAGATAAAAAAAGAAGTTACTATAAGTATACTTATCTTAAAATTAAAGTGTAAGTAAATAAAGACTTAGAGAACTACTTAGTATATATTAATACTAGTATATTAGTTATTTTTACTTAATATAACTAGGTAAAGAGGTTTATAAAGAACCTAAGATTTTTTTTATTAAGCTATATAAAGTAAAAACTATAAGATTATTATTTATATTAATAAAGGATATTACTATTAATATATACTTTATTAGAACTATAAAAGACACTAAAATAAAGGTCTATATAATAATTATAGTAGAAGTAGTTAAAAAGCTTTTAGCTTACTTACTACTTAGTATACTTTTCTATAATAACTATAGTATAGTAGTTAACTTTAATAAAAAATAAGTAAAGCTTAGGTTAGCCTATAATATAATAATCTTAGTAATAGTAAAGAATTACTTCCTTATTATAAGGAGGGTTATAGTATAGTATATAGTAATAATATTACTTAACTTTATTTACTACCTTTTTATTAACTTTATTAACCTTCTTAAGAAATATAATAAAGAAAGTAACTTATATAAATATTCTATATACTTAATTAATATATTTACCTTTAATATAATACTAGATTTTCTGATCTTTAAAGTAATAATAGTCTATAATAATATAGGTAGGCTAATTACTATTAGAAAAAGTATAAAAATAGTATAAATCTCTCTAGTATATAAAAGAAAGTCTATATAACTTATTACTAAAGAAGTACTAGATATAATTACTTATAGTAATATAGTAAACTTTCTTAATATTATTAATAAGTTCTTTAATAGTAAAAGTAAGACTACTATAATAGTAGACACTAGTAATAAATTAGTAAATCTACTATTACTAGCTAAGGAGGTACCTAGATATAAGATTATAAAACCTAACTTTTACTTTAGAATAACTAACTACTATTAGATATTAAGGTTTAAAGACCTTATATATATAAAAGTAAAATAATAATATAATAAATAAGTATAATATATATTATAGTATTAATAATACTATATATACTATATACACTAGATATAAGAATAACTACTTAGAAAACAGCTATATATACTATATAATAATAATATTTATATATAAAGAATAGGTCTTTTAAGTAAGACCTCCTCCTTCTCTCAGGAATTAAGCATATAGTTCTAGGTTACATAAGGTAAACAGATAAAATAATACCCTGCTATAGGTAAAATAATACCCTATAACTTAATAACCTACTTAATAACCTACTTAATAACTTACTTAATAGCCTAGAATACTAAAGAAATCCTTAGAATACCTAAGAAATAAGTATAAGTAATCCCCTTATATCCCTAGGTCTAGTTAGCTAGTTAGATCTATAAGCTCTTCTATATCTATAATAATATAATACTTCTATATTTTATCTCTTATGTTTTATCTTTAACCTTATTTACCCCTTTTACCTCTAAAAACTACTATAAAGTAAAGATCTATATTAATAATCGTAAGTATATAAAGAAGCTAAAGACTATACTTAATAAATACTATATTTACTATAACTATAGGTTAATACTTATACTAGATAAAGATAAGATAAAGATTAAACTACTTAATAAATAGTAAAACTAGAAATAGAGTATTTATATATTTTCTTTTAGTCTTAAAGATATAAAGCTTCTTAATAAATAAAATAACTAGTAATATATAATTAGTAGTATTACTAAATAATAATACCTAGTAGTACTAGCTTACTCTCTTTTTATAGTATAAAAGTACTATAAAAATAAAAAAAGGTATAAAGAGTATATAGTTACTAATATAAGGCCTTTTAATAAATAGGCTACACTAAATATTTATCTTTTACTTAACTAAGAGAATATTATATTAAGACTTTAAGGTAGAAAGAGAGTAGTAATATTTAATACCTTAGGGTTCTTTTACTAGGTAGAAGTATATTTACCTTATAAGAAGTATATAGTAATAATGAGCCTATAAGGGCTTAAATACTTTAATATAGTGCTTATAGGCTTTAAGAGCTTATAATTATATACCTAGTACTTTATAGACTATATATCCTTTAAATATTACTACTTTATAAAAGTATATATTAATAATATTATAATCTTTAGTAACTTTAATAAGGACTACCTTTTTTACCTAGAGATAGTTCTATAAATCTTTAATAAATACTATATTTATATTAAAGTAAAGAAATTATTTATTAGCTTTTAATTTATAAAGCTCCTTAGTTATATAGTTAATAATAATAGTATATATAAAATAGATAACTATATCTAAGCCCTTAAGTAACTAGTTTTCTTATATAGCCTTTGAAACCTTAAGATATATTATAGTATAAGTAGCTAGTTATAAATAAGAACACTATAGTTTAATATAATTATAGATTTAGTTTACTAAAAAGAAGTAAAACTTAATAAATAATTATAAAGGAATAATATACTAAAACCTAGAATAACTTATTAGTATAAAGTAAAAATTATTACTAAGAAGACTTTTAACTTTATAGCTAAAGAACTTAATATATAGAAGACCTTATAAAAGAAACTTTATAATTAGGCTATATATTATTACTATAACTTTAAGAAGCTACTTTTTTTTAAGACTAATATATATATTAATAGCTTTAGGCTTATAGTATTCTAACTTAACTATAACTAAGATAAAAAGAAAATTCCTAAAATTAATATAATAAATAACTATATTAACCTTATTCTTTTTTTTATAGACTATAACCTAGGTAAAGAAATAATTTAGTGTAACTAAAGCTAAAGTAGTAGCTATTATTAGAGTTCTAAAGAAAATACAAGGATTCTATATAAGTGTTAAGACCTTTATAGTGTAGTAAAAAAGTATAAGTAATTATATAGGCTTATATAAGCTATATAAAAATAAAGTAAAATAACGTTTAGATAAAGCTTTTTTTTTGTAATTTATTAATATTTTTATTCCCTTTTTAGGAAATAGCCCTGCTTTTCTTTATTAGTTATAAGAAATCTATTTTTAGTATAGGCACTAATATATATTATATAGTGCTAAGTAAAAAATATAATATAAATATAAGTTGTATTTACTAGTATATCCTAGTATATAGTTACTAAAAATAGAAACTATATTAGATAACCCTTGTAATAATTTTAAGATCTATAATATATATTAATTATATAATTTAATATTTATAAGTTAGCCTAAAAAGCCTTGTATTTTAAAAAAAAAATATAAATTCTATATAAAATACACTTATAAATCTCTAGCTACTATATAGGCTATTAAGAAGCTTTAGAAACTTATCTAGTAAAATAAATATACAGTTAGTATTCTTTTAGACTATATAGCTATAAAAAGTATTATTACTAATATATTATTATAAATAATAGACCTTAATAAAGCTAACTTATATTTTACTAATCCTACTAACTACTTTTCTTAAGTTTAGCTTTAAATTTTTTATATCTTAAGTAAGCTTAATATAATACTAAATTTACTATTATAACTACTAGTTACTTAACTTAACCTTATAAAGTACTTCTTATATAAACAGTAAGCTTATAAATATTAATAATAAAGATAAAGTTAAAGAAGTAGTAATAGTATACTATGTAGGTAATAAGCCTCTAAGCCTAAGGAAAACTACTATAATAATAGTATAAATTAATAATAAGTATATAAAGAGTATTATTACTAGCTACTAAAATAATAAGAAATTTAAGGATTTAAGAGTATAAATTATATAGATATAAAAGAATAATCTTAAATATATTACTTTAAATAAGGCTAAAAGAGAGTAGTAGTTTTCTTATAAATAATAACACTAGCCTTATATAGTTATACTACTATAGAAAATTAAGTTTAAAAGATTAATATTTTATATAGCCTTAGATAGTATATATAGACTTTATATCTTAAAACCTTTTATAGAAAAGATATTTACTTTTACTTATAATAAGAAGTTTTACTTTAGGTATAATAAAATACTTACTAAGCTTTAAAGCTTCTATATCCTTAGAAAAGTAAAGTTAGTAAAAGCTTATATTACTTACTGCCTAGAATACTAAAGTAACTAGACTAATTACTAGAAGGCTATAAGATCTCTTTAAGTTATAATAATACTTAGTATACCTTACTATACTATTTTATTAGTATAATAGGTAGGCTTAAATCTCTTAGAGAGAATAATAGCCTAAGAGTATATAAGAGAGTATATCTCTTATATAAAGATATATCCTATAGAAGCAAGAATATAGGATAACAAAGGTAAATATAAAGATATAATAATATAGATATAAAGAGAGTATAATAGTTAGTCTTATTGTTTTATTACTAACTGTTCTATTTTACTTACTTAGAAAAAGAATAAGATAGACTAGAAATAGTAAGAAATCTAGCCCTTATATAGATATATCTAGCTTACTAGAATATTCTATACTTACGTAAGCTACTTATAAATTAACCTAAGATTACATAACTTAATAACCCTAGTTAAATAACCCTAACTTAAAGCAGTAACCTTGTTAAAGAGATAGTGTTAAGAAGAGGTTTCTTAGATATTCTAGTACTTTCTCCTATCTTCTAGTGATTACGTAATTAAATATACTTATATAATTAATATATATATTAATCTACTAAGTTAGTAGATTATATATATAGATATCTTATATATATATAACCTCTATAATAGAGGAAATATAAGATGAAGAAGTATTAAGAGTATAAGAGATACTCTTGGTTCTTATACTTCTAATATATTTTTATAGACTTTATTATAAATGTACTAGAAGTCTTAACCTAAGGTAGCTTTTAGGCTATACTTAACTTTTATATATTTAAAAGCCTTTATACTATAACTTATAAGTTTAGTAAGAAAATCTTATTTGTTTTAAAGTATATAAGGTATAAGGCTTATTATTAGGCCTAGGTATTACTTTAAACGCTTATAATATATAACTAAGGACTACTAATAGTAATTATTAGTAACTATAACCTTAAGCTTATTTTTATAATATAAGTAAAAATATTTAATACTTTTAAGAAATAATTACTTATATTTATAATATATTATCTTTAGACTAATATATATATATAGTAAGTAGCCTATTATAGTAAGTAGCCTACTTTTGTTTACTTTTTACCTCTTTAACCTTTATATAATATTCCTCTATATATAAATATATAATCCTCTTTAATTAAAAGCTATATTATCTTTGCTATCTAAGCTATTAAAAAAGACCTAAAAATATTTATATAAAAGGCAGCTACTATCTTTAAGGTCCCTAAAGGTTTACTCTATTACTAACGTACAAAATATATTATATAAGACAAGATATATCTAAAATTAATAAAGATAACAAAAGTAAAGAAGAAAGTAATTCTTAAGAAGGTTA